TGAGTCGACTAAAAAATCACCGATGAAGCATGAGAGAGGGACTGTCCCCTGGGGGGAAGGGAAGTAGTTGGGAACGGGAGACACACATCCACACACCCACATGCATGCATGCACACATGCGTCTCGCACCTCTTCCATGTGGCCGCCGATGTCCTGAGTGGTCCACAGCAGCTGCAGCGCCGTGCCAATGCATGCCGCGCACACACTGACGCACAAGAAAGCATGCGCACATGGGTCTCGCACCTCTTCCATGTGGCCGCCGATGTCCTGAGTGGTCCACAGGAGTGCAGCGCCGTGCCAAGGCGGGGCTTGTCCTGGTATGCAGAGGATCCCAGTATACAGACACACTACCACACACCCACCCTCTCACCTCTTCCATGTGGCCGCCGATGTCCTGAGTGGTCCACAGTAGCTGCAGCGCTGTGCCTAGGCGGGGCTTGTCCTGGTATGCAAAGGGTGGTTCTCGGCCCTCTCCCGCTTCTCAGGCACCTGCAAAGGCATGCACACATACGCACATGTGTGCAGACACAACATACGCACAAGCAAACATATGCACATGTGTACAGACATAACACATACGCACAAGCAAACATATGCACATGTGTACAGACATAACACATACGCACAAGCACACATACGCACATGTGTACAGCCATAACACATACGCACACGCACACATACGCACACGTGTACAGCCATAACACATACGCACACGTGTACAGCCATAACACATACGAACCCATGATGGCTTAGAGAATACAAGGGGGTGGCGGAAAGTCTTGTCCATTCCAAAAGAGGGACAAAAGGGTGGTTCAGGTGCTTACAGGTGCTTTCAGGTGCTTTCAGGTGCTTTCAGATGCTTTCAGGTGCTTTCCCACCATCGAAATCAGAAGAGTGTTTGACATGGATTACCTTGTGTTGGTTTGCCAGAGAGCGCTTCTGTTGTTCTCACCTGACAGATAATATCTGCTGTTTTCACCTGAGAGCGATTCTGTTGTTTTCAACCTGAAAGCAGTTCTCAGGGTTGGCGCTGACAGGCACGAGCTTCCAGGTGGGGAAGATGTATGAGAGGCAGGTGAGGACGAAGATGACAGGCGCAGGGGGGGTGAGCTCCTTGGAAATCTGGGAGAGGGGGGGGGGGAGGGAAAAGCGGGGGAAGATAAAAGGGGGAGATGTATGAGAGGCAGGTGAGCACGATGACAGGCGCAGAGGTGATGAGCTTCTGAGAAATCTGGGGAGATGGGAAGAGCCGTGGGGGGGGGTAGGACGAATGAGGGAGAGAGAGACATCAAGCGGGGAAGATGTATGCGAGGCAGGTGAGGACGAAGATGACAGCCGCAGGGGGGGTAAGTTCTTGAGACATCTGGGGGGCGTGGGGCGGGGGGAAAGGGTGGGGGGGGTTGGAGTGGAGTGGGGTGGGGAGGACGTAGGAGAGAGTGGAAGGGTGAAAGATCTATGAGAGGCAGGTGAGGACGGAGATGACAGGCGCAGGGAGGGTAAGTTCTTGAGACATCTGGGGAGATGAGAGGGGGTAGGGGAGAGAGGTAAGGGGGAGGATTAGCTGCTGGGAGGATTAGCTGCTGAGAAAGCTGGATCTGGGGGACGGCGGGACTTTTGAGTCGACTCAAAAGTCACCTAGGGGAGAGAGGTAAGAGGGGGGATTAGCTGCTGAGAGGATTAGCTGCTGAGAGGATTAGCTGCTGGGAGGATTAGCTGTTGAGAAAGCTGGATCTGGGGGACGGCGGGAAGATGTAGAAGCGGTAGGTGAGGATGCAGATGACAGGGGAGGATTAGCTGCACAGGGGAGGTCAGTTCTTGAAACATCAGGGAGGGGAAGGGAGAGAGTGGAGTGGTCGCAAGAGATTTTTGAGTCGACTCAAAAATCACCTGGGGAAGGGAGAGAGTGGAGTGGTCGCAAGAGGGAGTGAGAGAAGGATTATTCGCAAGAGGGACCAGGACGCATCAGCTCAGGTGATACCTGGAAGGTGTATTTTGAGTCGACTCAAAATACGAGTGGAGTGGTGGCAAGAGGGAGTAAGAGAAGGATTATTACGGGAGCAGGATTATTAAGGACGCATCAGCTCAGGTGATACCTGGGAGGGGGCAAGAGAGATAAAAGGGGGTAGGGGCTACTAGAATGCCTAAACGTTCTCTCCGCCACAAGTTTAGTCAATACACTACAGGGTGACTTTTTTTTAGGCGCTTAAAAAATAGTCACTACACTACAGGGTGACTATTTTTAGGTGCCTCAAAAACAGTCACTACACTTCAGGGTGACTTTTTTTTAGGCGCCTCAAAAATAGTCACTACACTACAGGGTGACTTTTGAGTCCACACAAAAGTTTCGTCACAACACTGCAGGGTATTTTTTACAATTCTAAAATACACCCTACACTACAGGGTGTCAGATAGAACTACACCAGACGTTACTAGCCTTACACATGGGGCCCATTCTAACCGCTCCATTCATTCCAGGGCGTGGGGTCCTGCCTTGCCACCTGAATCGCCATGGATTCTCTTCTTTACTCCCTGTTTTGCACTACACTGCATTGCACTAGACTACATCGCACAGAACTCGTCTAACCTTACACATGGGAGCCACCAGCACTGCTCCTCTCCAAGGGGTGGGGTGAGCTCCTCCCATGGATGACTCTACATACACCACTTTGCACCACACTTCACCGCACTACACTGCTGTGTGTAAGAGACTTTAATGACCTTACATATGGGAGGAACCAGCACTGCTCCGTTCCAAGAAATAGGTCTCTCCAAGCAACCAGAATCGCAATGGCTGCTCCCATGGGCTTGGCATAGAGTCCTTCTGCACCACACCACATTGCATTGCACTGCACTACACCGCACTAAACTGCCTCGTACCGTACCAGACCCTACTGACCTTACACATGGGTGCCACCAGCACTGCTCCGTTCCAAGGCGTGGCGTCCCTCCTAGGTACTTGAATCGCCTGGCCCCTCCCATGGAATTCACATACCGCGCTTCTGCACCACCACTCACCACACTACGCCGCACTACACTGCTGTGCAACAGACTCTACTGACTCACACTTGGGTCGCTCTTTGCTATCTGAATCGCCAAGCCCTTCCTCACTGACTTGCCGAGCGAATTTCACCACAGTGCACCACACTAAACCACACCAAACTGCACCAGAATCGACTGACCTTACACATGGGGGCCACTAAAACAGCTCCGCTCCAAAGGTTGGGGTTGCTCCTTGCTATCTGAATCGCCATGCCCTTCCTCACTGACTTGCCGAGCGAATTTCACCACAGTGCACCACACTAAACCACACCAAACTGCACCAGAATCGACTGACCTTACACATGGGGGCCACTAAAACAGCTCCGCTCCAAAGGGTGGGGTTGCTCCTTGCTATCTGAATCGCCATGCCCTTCATCACACTAAAACAGCTCCGCTCCACTGCATGGGATCCCTCCTTGCCACTTGAATCGCCATTTCCCCCCCCCCCCCCAAGGCTCCCTGAACCGCACTGCACTGCACTGCACCGCACTACTAACCTTACACATGGGAGCGAGCAACCAGCACGGCTCCGCTCCAACGGGTGGGGTCCCTCACCGACACTTGAATCGCCATGGCCCCTCCCATTTGACGCCACATGCCGCACGTCTGCACCACACTTCACCGCACTCCACTGCACCACACCAAGTTCTACTAACCTTACACATGGGCGCAACCAAAACTGCTCCGTTCCAGGGAGTGGGGTCCCTCCTGGAAACTTGAATCGCCATGGCCCCTCCCAGAGACTCGCCATAGAGGAAAAACGGCAGGTGAGAGAACCTGGGATTGGCTGGGGAGGGGAGTTAGAGGGGTGCGATGTGGACAAAGTGGCTCTCTTTGAGTCAATTCAATGGCACTTGAATCTCCATGGCCCCCCCAAGGGCTCGCCATAGAGGAAAAACGGCAGGTGAGAGAACCTGGATTGGCTGGGGGTACCAGAGTGGAGGGAGGTCGGAATTGGGGGAGGGAGGCATTGAGGGAGGGTGGAATTGAGGGAGTGTGGAATTGGGGAATGGGATTTGGGAAGGTGGCATCTTAAATCAACTCAAAGTCACTAGAAGGGCCATTGCCCCTCCCATAGACTCGCCATTGCCGCTCCCATGGACTGGCCATCATAGAGGAATAGCGCCTCGGGTTGGCTGGGGGGGCATTAGGAGGGTGGGATGCGGGCTGGTTGGCATAAGAAGAAAGGATATTTTTGGGTCAACGCCAGTTCACATGCCATGGCCGCAAATGCCCTCCCCTCCTCTTCTCCCAGCACACTCTAATCATTCTGTGCGTATATCGCCCCACCCACCCACACCACACCAGACCACACCTCACCTCTCCTTCTTGCCTCTCCTCATGGCAAAGGTTTCCCCTGCCGACTCACCTCTCAGCCGGTTTCGCGAACTCAATCACTTAGTCCGCCAGGCGAGGGAGGCAATGCAGTCACGCCACTTCCCCTGCACTCCCCGCTCCGTTCTCCCCTCTCACCTCTCTTTTCCGTGCCGGCTCACCTCTCTAGCCGATTCGCAAACGCAGGCGAGGGAAGCAATGCAGAGGTGACCTCACCTCACCTCACCCAGCTTCCCCTCCGCTCTCCACTCCGTTCTCACCAATTGAACACCAGATAGGTGCCATTGTGTCAATACGTGGCAGCAACTTGTGGGATGACACCTGTGTAAAATGTAGATTGTAGAAAGCGAGGGAAGCAACGCAGAGGTGACCACACCTCACCTCACCCAACTTCCCCTCCACTCACCACTCCGTTCTCACCTCTCACCTCCCTTTCCCCCGCCGGCTCACCTCACAACCGGTTGCGAACTCAACGACGTCATGTGCGAGGCGCCTCAAAAGATGGGGATACAGGCAATAACATCTCTTGAGGCGCCTCAAAAGATGGGGATACAGGCAATAACATCTCTTGAGGCGCCTCAAAAGATGGGGATACAGGCAATAACATCTCTTGAGGCGCCTCAAAAGATGGGGATACAGGCAATAACATCTCTTGAGGCGCCTCAAAAGATGGGGATACAGGCAATAACATCTCTTGAGGCGCCTCAAAAGATGGGGATACAGGCAATAACATCTCTTGAGGCGCCTCAAAAGATGGGGATACAGGCAATAACATCTCTTGAGGCGCCTCAAAAGATGGGGATACAGGCAATAACATCTCTTGAGGCGCCTCAAAAGATGGGGATACAGGCAATAACATCTCTTGAGGCGCCTCAAAAGATGGGGATACAGGCAATAACATCTCTTGAGGCGCCTCAAAAGATGGGGATACAGGCAATAACATCTAGACTCGTCTCTATTGTATCACCCGTTCGACCCACACACCCACCTCGTAGCTGGTTGGCGAACGCAATGACGTCTTCCAGATGCAAGCACAGCAGGGGAGGCTGGGAATGTACCCGTGGGGAGCAGCTACGGGGCCAGCAGGCATGCCACATCGCCGCCTGACTCTGCCTCGACCCGATTCACCAGCTAAGTAACAACCCACACCCTCGAAAACAAATCCACAATGCACTGCTGCTCTTCCCAAGACCATGAGTGACGACGGCCAGCAGGCATGCCACATCGCCGCCTGACTCTGCCTCGACCCGATTCACCAGCCATCCATGCTGCACCCAATACCCACCTCGCAGCCGGTTGGCCAACTCAATCACGTCATCTGAGTGAACACCACTTGGGTGCCATAGGTCTGGGTGAACACCACGTGGCAGAAACTTTGAAAAACCCACCTCGCAGCCGGTTGGCAAACTCGATCACGTCATCTGCCAAGCGAGTGAAGCTGGGGATGTACCCGTGGCGACCAGCTGAGAGCCCGTGCCCCTCATAGTCCACACCTACTAAGGCGTAGCCTGCTGCTGCCAGCATCACCGCCACGTCTGGGAAGAGGAGAAGGGCGAGAGGGGACAGCGGGAAGAAGGGGGGTTTGTTACATGGAAGGATGTACCCGTGGCGACCTGCTGACAGCCCGTGCCCTTCATAGTCCACGCCTACGAAGGCATAGCCTGCTGCTGCCAGCATCACCGCCACATCTGAGACACATGCGGGGGAAGGGGAGGTGCATGAAGACTGTATGTGTTGTGACCCGCTAAGAGCATGTGCCCTTCATAATCCACGCCTGATAACGCATTGCCTGCTGCTGCTGACATCACCGCCACGTATGATGGGAAGGACGAGAGGGGAGCGATTGGGGCAGAAGGGCGAGGGGGGACAGAGGGGAGGGGGGAGGTGCATGAAGGGTGCCTTGAAGGGGGAGGTGCATGAAGAGTGCATGTAGACAGGCCGTGACTTGACCCCTGTAATCCAGGCCCACTAGAGCATAGCCTGCTGCTTCTGCTGCCAGCATCACCGCAACACAGCCCACGCTTACTGCTAACACAGCCTGCTGCTGCTAACATTGCCGCAAAATCTGATGGGAGAAGAGAGAAAGGGAGTGTCAGTGATGCTGTCAAACTCTCCTTTTGAGTCGACTCAAAATCAAAATCAAAATGTCAGTCGACTCAAAATCAAACTCTCAGCACTGCTGACACAGTGTCTCGCAGCATGCCTCACAACATCATACCTTCGAAGATTTACGTGCACGTCTCCCCGTACCCATGCCAGAACAGCACCACGCCTCTCAGTCGCTTGACCCTGTCTTTGCTTATAGCCCATACCCATGCCCCACATCCCACACCCATACGACCCATACCTTCGAAGATGTACGTGCACGTCTCCCCGTACCCATGGCAGAACAGCACCACTCCTCTCAACCGCCCATCACTGGGCAGCCATTCCTTGGTGAACAGCTCTACCCCGCGCGAGTTGATGAAGTACTCCTCACTGGACGCCACGCCGTGTGCCGCCTGGGAGGGGGGAGAGAATGTGGGGAGATATTGACTTTGTGAACAGCTCTGCGCATCTCAGCCGTCCATCACTGGGGCAGCCATTCCTTGGTGAACAGCTCCACACCGCGCGAGCTGATGAATCATTCCTCACTGGACGCCATGCCGTGTGCCGCCTGGGAGCGGGGGAGAGGAGAGCACATGGGGAGAGCCGGGTGAGATTGAGGCAGAAACAACCATTCCGCGAGTTGATTAAGTATTCTTCACTGGACGCCACGCCGTGTGCCGCCTGGGAGCGGGGAGAGCATGTGGGTAGGGCAGGGAGACGTTGAGGCAGAGACAGAGGCAGCCACTCCTTAGTGAAATAAATCAGAGGCAGCCACTTCCCGCGAGTTGATGAAATAATCTTCACTGGACGCCACCCCGTGTGCAGCTTGGAAGAAGGGGGATCAGATACAGAGACAGCGGCACACGCAGCCTCAAAGCTAGACTCCTATCACGCTGGACTGGGAGACGGAGGAACGGACGGAGACGGCGGTCGGACGGGCGGACGGGCGGACGGGCGGACGGGCGGACGGGCGGACGGCTCGCATATGCCTCTTGTGCGACCGTCGTGCTTTCCGCCTACGGGGAACCCATTCCAGATTCAGCGTTCGTCAAATACTCGCTATTGAGGGTCTCTCAAGAGTAACTCACGTAGAACGAAGGAGGCTTCTTGTGCGGCTGCCGTGCCTTGCGCCTGCCGGCCTCCCATTCCAGACTCAGCGCCTTTCGCGGACGAGCTAGCCGCTTAGCTACGTAGAAGACGACTCCTCCTAGAATCACGGCGGGAAACACGGGGCCCCACATGGTAAGTAGTAGCTTCTACAGCCTCCTGTTTCCTGAGTCTAGAAGGTTCTTGCTTTGGAATTCGTGGTTCTGTACTTTTTGATCATTATGAACGCGGCAAAGTGCTTCTCATTAGAATCGATTTGGTCTGACTTACAGCTGTGCTGCATATACAAATTTCAACTAAGTTTGAACTTCACAAGCAAGTTCGTGAAATTAAACTGGCTCATACATGTCATAATTAAACATTTGTTTTATATAACTGTTTCTGTTTCCTTTGAATTTTATAATGATGTTAATTTACATAAGCTTCATATTTGAAAGCAAATTGACACGGGATGCACGACACTTTCCATACGCGTTACTAGGCCGTTTTCACCACTGGCGGGACAATCACTAGGAGGACCTCAATAGGCAGGCGCGAATTCCCCCCCCTGGGATTTCCGACAAATTTCTTCCTAAGGAATTCCGTCAACTTTTCCGTCTATAGTAGACTGACGTCAATTTGCTTCCCGGCGCCTCTGCTCAATGTCTTAGACGCACCCTATTCGGACATCAAATCACCGCTGGTTCTAGGCACCTGGGGGAGCGGCCTCATCGGTGGGGGGATTTCTCCCATGGCTGCATCGGTCTCCCTTTCTCTCGGTTCCGTTTCGATCGTGCCCTTCTCGGGCCGTAGCACGGCTAGTAACCGTTTCCCCCTACCTCCGCCCTTCTCGGGCCGTACCACGGCTAGTAACCGTTTCCCCCCACCTCCGCTCTTCACGCGCCGCAGTGCGGTTAGTAGCCGTAGTACGTGGCCGCTGCCACGTGGTTTGTGCCTAAGACCACGTGGCGTACGGCTAAGAGCTCAACCCGATTCTTCTGACGACAGCGGTGGCGCAAACGCCCATCGCGTCTTCCCACATTCACCTTCCGCCAGCTCCTCCCCTTCCCCTCCCCCGTCCCCATCCCCGTCCCCCGCTCCTCCCCCATCTTCCCCCACTCCGCTCCCCCAATCTCCCCCCCCCTCCCCCCCTCCGCTCCCCTCCTTCCAAGACGGCATAACCTGGTTCTGCCTGTCTTTAATCGGCTTAATAGCTCTTATAGACCTCTCCCCGCTAGGCCCTATTCTCCGCTCCGCCCCTCCGCAATCCGTGCCCGCCCTACTCGCGCTCGTGCAGTGGCTCTTCTTCGTCCTTCCCGCGCTCTCCTGGTGCCGCGACCGCGGATTCCCCCTCCGCGCAACCCTCAAGCTGCAGCTTCCGCCGGGGGGAGGGGGTGGGGGAGGGGAGGGGCCTGGGGTAGGGGGATGGGGGCGAGCTGGCGAGCGGGGAGGCAAGGGGGATGGGGAGGGGGAGGGGTTAGCGGGGAATGGGAGCTGGTGGAAGGCAGTTGCGGCAGGGGCAGTGGGGGGTCCGATTTTATGGGCACTACTGTTCTCTCTAGTGTCACTCAAGGCCGGTGCTGGGGGTGATGGGACACTAGAGTTAGCCGAAATAGCAGCAGCAACGGCAGGAGGTGATAGTGTGAGTGCTGCAGGCCTATTGCTGGGCCCTGTTTTGCTGCCGGATGGAGCAGGGGGGAGCTTAACTGCTACAGCTGCCACGGCTGTGTCTGCCCTCCCCCTGCTGGACGTGCTACAGCTGTTCCTGTGGGTGGCAGTGTCGCCGGCTGTAGCAGAGGAGCTGCTCTTCAGAGGACTGCTGCTCACGGCCCTGCAAGACAGGCTCGGCAGGTGAGAGGTTTGGTAGCTGAAGCTGTACGAATGAGGTTTGGCAAGATTCCAGACCCTCTGTCTTGCAAACAGTGCTTGCTAGATTTCTCGCACTCGTCGCCCCATTTCCCGTCTCGTAGAGAACATAGCGTTTCTTAACTCAGAGCACTAGTCCCTTGAATTCATCTCTGTCCTACCACCACCTTCCCCCCTTCTTTCCCCCACTTCCCCTGCCTCCCTCAGAATCGACGCTGCCATGCTATCTGCGGCCCTCTTCGCCCTCTTCCACCTCTCCCTCTCCCTCTTCTTCCCAAACATGGCCCTTGGGATTGCCGCTGGCCTGCTTGCCGTCTACTCCAATAGCGTGCTGCCAGCTGTCGCCCTGCACACCACTTACAATGCATCTGCCCTTCTCTATGCACTCATGGCTACGGCTGCTGCTTCTGTATAGCAAGGAAGGGTTGTTGCCACCTTCAGTTTAGTGCATTCCTATTAACACGTGTATGCATGAAATTTAACACGCACATAAGCCATCGCATAGCCTCAAATGCTTGCTGAGATTGATATTCTTCACGTTTCTATTTTGCCTAGGCGAAATGGTCTAGAATTACCTTACTGTAGAACGGAGATGGAGCCTGTTACCTGTCGCAAGTTTCGTGTCGCATTCTCGAATCACGATCCGCAAAATGCACCAGGCGTGGTTTCGTGAACAAGTCCCTGAACCATCAACCTCGAGAAAATCCCAGGGGGGAAACTTTCAAGGCGAATCTCCCGAAGTGGAACTCCCGAGGTGTCAACCTCATCCACACCAGTGCAGGAGAGATCCAGAATTCGTTGTGGTTCAAGTCGCTTGCTCCAACCAGGGCATTGGAGCATCCGTTTGCTCCAACCCCCTGGATACTACCGGGGCCGTTGTGTATTACACCTGGATTGAACATGAATCAGGTCGCTGATCGTTCTCGTATTTTAATTCCATGCCGCCGTTTGATTTATTTCGGATCGCTCTTCAACCTTAGACTGACGTCTATTAGGAGCAAGGACGGACGAGTAATTGTTCGCCCCATACTCAACGAAGAAGGTGAACGGTTCTTAGATTTCCCGAGGGTCCGAAACCGACAAGCCACCCGAGCTCTCTAGGTAGTCGCGAACTATCGGCCTGGATTTTATATATCCCTCGGGTCCCTCTGCTGTTCGCCATGGCGTGTGTTATTCCTTCATCATCATGGCCATTAGGCGCGTCGATTTGCAGCGTAGACTACACGCAGACCTTTTACGTGCCTCCTTGCGAGTCACTCTATAAGAATCATGCTAGGAATCCGTTCAGATATGCTTTTCCTGCATGGCCAAGCCCTTACCAGCTCGGATTTGGCCCCCTGACCCAACCTGCACGACGAGCATTCGTCAGGATTCGAACCCGTGATCGGAGCCTCGCAATCAGGTGTGACGCTGGGAAGTCTTCCACGCCAGCCGAAGCTCCAGAGGAAGAATTCGCGGATTTTGGATTTGAACCAAATTTCGGGAGCAAGCCAGCGCTGACGGTGGGGAAGGAGGCTGAGAATCGACGAATGGGGGACGAGGAGGAGAGGAGAGCAGGGAAAGGGAAGGGAGTTAGTGAGGGTAGCGGAAGGGGGAGTAAAAAGGGGGAAGGGTGCGAGGAGGAGGAGGAGGCAGTGGCAGTGATTGCTGGAGTGCTGATGGAGAAATTCGGGCCTCAGATTGTGAGAGAGGAGTTGGAGGAGGGAGGTGGAAACGGAAGAAATGAGAGCCACGAGGATGTGAAGAGAGCGAAAGCGAAAGGCGAGGAAGAGGGAGTGGACAAAGAAGCAGAGGAAGCAGACGCAGAAGCGAGTGCGGAGGACTCACCAGCCGCCACATCTCGTCCCACGCGTGTTGTTTCTCCCGCTTCCCTCCTCTCCCTCTACCGCTTCTTCTCCTCCCACCTCGGCATCTCCTCCCCTTCCACTGTCGCTTCCATCCTTGCCTCCTGTCCTGCAATCCTCCGGTCCGATCCCATCACGGACCTCCTCACACATGTCCACCTACTCCAATCCTACGGCATATCCCATGCCGACATCGTCCACATCACTCTAAAAAACCCAGGCTGGCTCCGGACCTCCCTCGCACAAATTCAGGATACGCTCGAATTTCTCTTGGCTCGGGGCGTCCGCAGAAGCAGGTTGGGCTTTCTGCTTAGACGTGGACGAGGCTTAATCTGCAGGCAGGCACATTCAATGAACCTGGACATTCTGGTGGAGAGAGCAGGGGTTCCTGTGGACAAGCTGGGTGTCGTTCTAGAGAAATTCCCGAATATTTTGAGCTGGAGCAAAGAGTCATTAATGTTTCAGCTCGAGCAATTGTCAGTCTATTTTACGAAGGGATGTGGGGGAGAAGGTGAAGGAGCTAGCACCAGCACCGGGCACGTGAAGCAGCACCTGGATAATAGGCATCTTACCCAGCTTATCCTGAGGTTTCCGTCCATCCTGGACTGTTCTCCCCACAGCATCTCTGAAAAGCTCGCCATCCTCCAGTCCTTCACCCCCCCAGGTACTCCCTCAATCGCAAGCCCTGTTCTCCGCCTTGCCCCCACCATACTCATGTTAAGCTCAGAAACTCTCTTAGCTAAGCTCCAGTTCTTTGTGGCGCTGGTGGGAAAGGAGGCAGCCGGGAGGGTGGTGCGGAGCCAACCGCAGATGCTTGCTCGGTCGATTGAGAATCTGCAAGGCAAGATGGCAGTTTTGACTGGTCTGGTCGGGCAAGAGAATGCTGTGCGTGCAGTGGCACAGTTCCCGTTGTTGCTGACTTCCAGTGAGGAAACGTTGAAGGAGAGTTTTGAAGAGCTAGTTACGGAAGTGAAAGAGGCATTCGAAGGAGGCGGAAGAGATGGAAGCGGGAGTGGGCAATTGGACGGAGGTGAGGTGTGGGAAACTGAGCCTTGGGCTCAAAGCAGAGCCGACCAAGGCTGGGATGAAATCCGAGCTTGTCAGTTGGTGGTGAATCTGGTGCTTAACTACCCTCCATCCATCTCTCTTAGCTGGAAAGGGAACCTGAGGCACAAGGTGGAGTACTTAAAGCAGGACATGGGGCTCTCTATAATGGAGATGCTCGCATTTCCCCAGTTCCTTGGTTACAGTTTGGATGGGCGAATCAGACCACGACATGTGGTACTGCTGAGCATGGGCTATGTGGTTGCTCCACATGCGCTAGTTGGTCAGAAGATGAGTAGAGGAGATGGGAGAGGGGGCTTTCTTGGAGCTGAGGGGGAGGGGAGGGAGCCAGATCATGGGAAACTGCAGGAGGTGGGGGAGATGGTGGTGTGCTTGCAGCAGTTCCTGCACTGTACAGAGAAGAAGTTTCAGGAGAAATACAAGGTCAAGCTGTAGGGTTGTGTTGAATGTCCTCTTACTGTTAGGCCCTGTACTGCCAGATTGGGCAGGAGGGAGTCTCACCACTACAGCTGCCATGGCTACAGCTTCCTCTGCTTCGGCTGCCTCTGCTACAGCTGCCTCTGCTACAGCTGCCTATGTCCTCTCCCTGCTGGACATGCTAAAGCTGTTCCCATGTTGCTGGCTGTAGTAGAGGAGCTGCTGTTCACAGCCCTGCAAGGCAGGCTCGGATTGTGAGAGGCTCGGCAGGTAAGCGGCCCGGAATATATGGTTTGGCAAAGTCCCATCCACCCTCTTCTTGCCGGTTCTAACACATCCTCTTCCCCCCAGAGCTCACAATTCTCCCATTTATGCAATACCACTCGTTCTTTGCTCTTCCTCTTGCCTCTTGATGGGACGTCTAAACACCCAGTAAGTTGATGGACATCATCAAACTCACTTCCCCTCCTCCCTGCACTATCCCCCCTCCTCCCTTCCTCCCTCAGTTCCGACGCTGCCATGCTTTCTGCAGCCATTTTCGCCCTCTTCCCCCTCTCCCTCTCTCTCTCTTATTCCCCAACACAACACGGCATTCGGGATTGTGGCCACCGTCTACTCCGATGATGTGCTGCCAGCTGTGGCCCTGCACACCACCTACAATGCACCAGTCCTTCTACACACACTCATAGCTCTGCCTGTATAGCAAGGAAAAAAGGGTTATTGCTGCTGCCCCAATGCGCTCCTACTGTTTGTTCCGCTTGAGGTTTTATCCATAATTTGCCCCAGTTGAGTAATGCCCCACCCCACCAGCATACGGGATTGGAGGAATGGGGCAATGGGTGAACAGATCAGGAGCCATGCACTGTCTTCCAATGAGGCAATGGGGTAATGCTTGGCAGTGATTGGCAAGTGTGCTAGCTAGCAAATGTTGTTGCCCTTCAATCTCAAAGAGCTGTGATTTCCTGGATTCTACTCATGGTTCAGCCTTTTTGCTTTAGCTGTCAAAGAACATCAGGAGTTCTCTCAAGTGAACAATTTTAAGTGGCTTTAGCAATGTACTTCTTGGGGTAAGGATCATCCTGAGCATGTATATGCTTCGCTTTCACATCGACCAGTTGCGGACGAAGCCAATTAGTGCTGGTATAACGGTTATCTATCCTGAAGTGCCAGTGCAAGCCCACGCGCAGGTCGGCCAATCAGATCCACGAGATGTGACTGGAACTGATCAGTGAAACGTCATGTCTGTCGAAACTCCTGGGACGGACGGAATGGAATGGAGTTCGAGGCAAAACGCAGCCATTCTGCTGCAGCACCAGATCTGCAGGACGGACAGCCCGAGGAATTTGTGCAGTTGAGCATTGAGCAACCGTCAGTCAGCCTGGAATCCAGAATGAAGCCGTTGTCGTTGCTGCTGGCTGTGTGAAGTTCACAACGAATGTATGATTCTCCAGAATCGAGACAGTAGACCTTTAGGAGCCATGAGGAACGACGGGAACGACCTTTAGCAGCTGTTCCACCATGGAAGTTCGACTTCAGGCTTCAGGTTGCTTCAGGCCCGTACTGAAGGGATCTTATACCCGTCAACATCATTCTTCAGTTGATTCCATCTTCCCACGCTTTTGGTATGGCGTGTTCTGTCCCTCCGCGAATTGACGTGTTCAATTCGCAGACTAAACATCGTGCAGTCTGATAAGCCTTCTTGCGAACGGCTTCATGGAAACCGTTGGAATCCATTCAGATCTGCTTCCCCTTCATGGTTCAGCCTATGCCAGCTCGGAGTCGGTCCACTGGACCAACCTGCACGGAAAGCCTTCGTCAGGACTCGAACCCGTGACCAGAGCCTTGCAATCAGGTGTGACGCTGGAAAGTCTTCCACGCCAGCAGAGGCTCCAGAGGAAGAAATCAGGGATTTCGAATCTGAACGGAAATCCGATAGCAAGCCAGCGCTGACGGTTGGAGCGGAGTTTGTGACACGTGGAGTGGGGGAAGGGGAGGGGGACAGCGAGGGAGGAGAAGGGGAGGAGAGTGTGAGGATAGTTGGGAAAGAGGAGGGGGGAAACAAGGAAGGCAAGAGTAAGAGGAGTGGGAGGAGAGCGGGAAAAGCCAAGGGAAGGAGTGAGGGGAGCGTCAGGAAGCGTAGAGGGGGGGCAGGATGCGAGGAGGAGGAGGCAGTGGCTGTGATTGCTGGATTTTTTAGAGAGAAATTCGGGCCTCAAATTGTGAGACAGGAGTTTGAGGAGGGGTCTGAATACGGAAGGATTGAGGACGAAGTGGAGAGGGAGCGAGAGGAAGAAGAGCAGGAGTTGGGAGTCGACACAGAACTTGAGGAAGTCGAGGAAGAGGAAGCAATAACAGATACGGTTGAGGAGGGTTCACCAGCCACCACATCTCGTCGCACACGCCCTACTCCACAACCCAATGCACGTGCAACCTCTCCCTCCTCCCTCCTCGCCCTCTACCGCTTCTTCTCCTCCCACCTCGGCATCTCCTCCCCTTCCACTGTCGCTTCCGTTCTTGCCTCACGCCCTCAAATCCTCCGCTCCAATCCCACCAATGACCTCCTGCCACGTGTCCATCTCCTCCAGCCATAGGGCATATCCCGTGCAGACATCGCTGACATCACCTTGAAAAACCCAGGCTGGCTCCGAACCTCCCTCCCACAAATTCAGGATACGCTCTAATTTCTCTTGGCTCGAGGCGTCCGCCGAAGCAGATTGGGCTTTGTGCTTGGACGTGGGCGAGGCTTAATCTGCTCGCAGGCACGTTCAACGAACCTGGACATTCTGGTGGCGAGGGCAAGGGTTCCTGTGGACAAACAGGGTGTGATTATAGAGAGATATCCAAGTATCATGACCTGGAATGAGAAATCGCTGGCGACTCAGGTCGAGCAATTGTCAGCCTATTTGACGGAGGCATGTGGAGGGAAGCTTGAAGGAGATAGCACCAGCACAGGCCACCTGACGCAACGATCAAATACGCAGCACCTGGACAGCAACTATCTGGCCCGGCTGATTCTCAAATCTCCGGCCATCCTCTCTTATTCTCCACACCACATCTCCGCCAAACTCGCCCTCCTCCAGTCCTTCACTCCCCCAGGTAGTCCCCCTATTGCCAGCTCTATTCTCAGCAAGGCCCCCACCGTTCTCAACCGCAGCCGAGAAACTCTCTTAGCTAAGCTCCAGTTCGTTGTGGAGCTGGTGGGGGGGGGAGGCAGCGGGGAGGGTAGTGCGCAGCCATGCGAGAGTTTTTTGTGTGTCGATAGAGAACCTGCATGGCGGTGCTGACTGGTCTGATTGGCCGAGAGAACGCCATGCGTGCAGTGGCACAATCTCCACCACTGCTGATTTCTAGTGAGGTTAATATGAAGGAGAGTTTCCGAGAGCTGGTGCGGGAAGTGGAAGAGGCGCTGGAAGGGAGTGGAGGAGAGGTAAGTGGAATACCAAGGTTGGAGGAAGGAGAGAGAGTTGAATGCTCGGCTAAGGGGAACGAGTCCCGAGCTTGTGATTCAGCAGCACAAGAAGCCAAGAGAGTCAAGGCTCGTCAGTTGGTAGTGCAGTTGGTGAAGTGCCCTCAATCTATCTACTGCAATTGGGAACGAAACACAAAGCCCAAAGTAGAGTACTTAAAGCGGGACATGGGGAGGTGCTTGCCTACCCTCTCTCTCTTACGTTTAGTCTAGATAGACGAATCAGGCCGTGGCACGTGGCATTGATACAGATGGGCTATGTGGTTGCTCCGTATTCTAAGGCTCTTCAGATGAGTGGGGAGGGAAGAAAAGCTCAGGTGAGGAGGACGGGGGAATATGTACCACTGATTGAGGGGAAGGGGGGTGAGGTGGGTGGGGAACTCTTGGCCTCTCTTGGGAACCTCTCAAGACGACTGCAAGGCAGGTACAGCCAATGAGCAGCAAAGCCAGGCAAACCGAACAGTGTCTCTGCGCCAGCTCCTACACTCTTAAAACAAGAAGTTTCAGGAGATGTTCAAAGCCAGGCCATAGATGCCTTTTCCAGATGGCCTTTGGCTGTTCTATACGACATCGACGATTTCATTAACCTGCACAGTCTGGCTGGACCCAGTTGGATACAGCTGCACCACGTCCTCAGGGGATCGCGTGGATGTTGAATGTCTCACTACCTGACCTGACCAGTGACCAGAGTTTGTGCGACTAACTCTGAAAGGGCATAGACACAAGGCTTGTGTAACCAAGCATTCTGTTACCCTGTGATGCTCCCTGTATCAAACCTAGAATTTAATAATATGAGAGAGAGAGTACACAAACATATACCTAAATGTTGTACTCTCTAGAAGGTGACCCTATACAGTCTATACAAACATGATAACTACACATGTTTGACACACCCCCTGGACTGCATAGGGGAATGTTCTAGACAAGTAGCTCAGGGTGGCACTACTAGTCCAGCCTCTGAGACAAGGGTCTAAAAGACCAGTCAGAAGGAGTACAGACAAGGCAAGAACGAGTACAGGGCGGCACTACTAGTCCAACCACTGTGAGAGGACACAAGTCCAGTCTGAGTGTATACATATATATATATACGACAGTACAAAGTCAAGGCCCGAGTAAGTGAGAGACTACAGGAACCAGACCAAGCTGTAAACAGTGCCGCTGATGATCTTTAGGCGCAAGCGCCTTCGTAAAGATATCAGCTGTGTTGGCACCGGAGGCCAAGTGTACTACGCGAGCCTGGCGCCGCTGCTGTAGCTCGCGCAGGAGGAAGTACCGCAGCTGGATGTGCTTCGCTCTGCCCTCGAGTCGAGGCTCCTGACACAGGAGAATCATGGCCCTATTGTCAGCGTACAGGACCGGGGCAGAGCTAGGCCGCTCACCTAAGTCAGTGAGCAAGAAGGTCAGCCAGCGGAGCTCCTGTGCCGCCATGGCACCGGCGTAGATCTCAGCCTCACAGCTGGACTGGGCAACCGACGAGGAGCGGGTAGCTCTCCACGAGACAGCACCTGAGCCAAGGCTAAAGCAGTAGCCCTGGGAAGACCTGAGCGTCTCGGCGTCGTCTGCCCAAGAAGCGTCTGTGTGTCCAGTAAGGACCACTGGCCTGCGTCCGCCTAGCACTAACCCCATGCCCGATGTACTTGCAAGATAACGCAAAACCCTCTTAGCGGCAGACCAGTGCTGAGGTCGGTGTCTGCCTGTGGCCACAAAACGAGCCAGGATGCTGAGAGGGTATGCGAGATCTGGGCGAGTGCAAGTCATCAGGTACATGAGGCAACCCACTAGCTCAGCGTAAGGACCACTGGGATCTACCGACTCCTCAGGAACTGGAGCGGAGAGTCTGTGGTCCAGAGGAAGAGGGGTGGGCTGTGCGGAGGAGAACTGAAGGCCGAACCTCTGAAGGACCTGGCGCACCAAGTGTGACTGAGTCAGGGTGATGGTGCGGGCGGCTCTGTCCCTGGAGATCTGCAAGCCAAGGTAACGGCGTAGCTCTCCAAGGTCAGTGCAGGTGTGTCTCTTCAGCAGCTCTGCCTTCACGGAGGCCAGTGCGTCCCTGTCAGCTGTGGCAAAGACCAGGTCGTCTACGTAGACGAGGATGTAGAACGGAGTCGAGCCAGCACGAACGAAGAGCGAGGGGTCTGCAGAGGACAGAAAGAACTGCAGGTCAGCAAGAGTAGCACGCAGCGTGTCGTGCCACTCACGAGGCGCCTGGCGCAGGCCGTAGACTGGGCGCCGCAGAAGCCACTGGGTCCCAGGAGGGAAGGTGCCAGTAAAGCCCTGAGGACGACGCAGGTAGACCTGCTCGTGAAGGCTGCCCTGAAGAAAGGCAGTGGAGAAGTCGAGGGAGTGAAGCTCGTAGTCACGCTGAGCCGCTACGTGTAGCAGAACCCGAAGAGTAGTCATCTTCGGGGTAGGAGCGAAAGTCTGAAAGAAGTCCACCCCCTCGCGCTGACTGAAGCCTCTAGCCACGTAACGCGCCTTGAACACAGGCGGCTCTCCAGGAGGGCGCTTCACCTTGAAGAGCCAACGGCCATCGACCACGTTCACCCCAGGTGGGGGAACTGCGTCGACGAAGGTGCCGGTGGATCTCCAAGATGCCATCTCCTGCTCCATGGCAGCTATCCACTGAGAGGCCCAAGGTCCCGAAACCGCCTCAGCGTAAGTACGAGGGGTCGGGATGTCAAAAGCGTCTGGGTCACCCTCAGGGACTAGCAGCATGGAACAGAGATGGGGAGCAGCCTCGGACAGGAAAGCAAGCTCAAACTGGCGGTCCTCCAGGACGTCACTGCCGAGGGCAGGAGCACCCCCGACAGACGGAGGACAGGCAGGGTCAGAGACCAGAGCGGAGGCGTAGTCAAGGCGGCGGGTAGAGGCGAAGTCAGCGACCGCAGCGACAAGGGCGTCAAGACTCGACACTGGAACAGACGTGTCGGTAACGAGAGAGGCAAGGACCCGAGGAACAAGAGGACGAGCGGCACGAAAGTAGTCAGACAGAGGAGGAGACGCAACGACAAGAGAGGACGGAGGAGGAGACGGGAGGAGGGGAGGACGAGACGCGTGGGAGCGGAGCAACATAGGGTGAGTGCGCGGGACGGGGGAGACAGGACGAGCACGGGAGGGGCGGCGAGACCAGACGTGAGAGGGCGGCGTCGGGTCAGGAGACAGAGGAGGGGACACGGGTGGGGAACGAGGGGGAAAACGAGCCGGGGACGAGTCCGGCGGAGGGAACACGGGGCCGTAGACGGGAAGAGGGGGAGACGGCCGGAGAGGAACAGGCGCAGGGTCAGGGGACGGAAGGCCGAGCAGACGGAGGGCGGACACCGGCGGGGACTGCTGCTGCGGCGACACAACACCAACGCCAGGGCCACAAGCTGCGCGACGGCTACCTCCCGAACCCTCCACACCGGCACCCCCAGAAGGGACACCCCCAGAGCCCGAAACACCGCCAGCACCGGTACCACCCCCAGGCCCGCGGGGACAAGCCACGACAGGAGCCCCGGGACGAGTACCCACCTCAACTCCAGCACCCCCAGAGTCCACAAACAGCGGCAGCGACGACGGCGGCGGCGGCGGCGGCGGCTGCAGCGACGGCCTCGACGGCGGCGGCGGCGGAGACGACGGCTGCAGCAGCTGCGGCGACGGCGGCTGCGGAGGCGGTGGAGGAGGAGACACCGGGGGAGGGACAGACGGCGAGGACTGCGCCAAAGGACTACCAGAGTCAGAAGACTCGTCGACCGGAACGACCGACGGGAGGGGGGTCACGTGAGACACACCAGAGGGGGCCGGACGGGGGGGCGGGGGGGGGGAGGGGCAGGGTCCACCAGGGAGGGAGGAACCAGGAACAGGGGGGGAGTAACCGGGGGACCATGGTGGGGAAAGCGGCGGAAGAAGGAGACGGACTCGTCAAAGGTGACGTCGCGAGAGTGAAAGAAACGGTGAGACGGCGGGTGGTAGAAGTGCCAGTCGGACGCGTCAAGGGGGAAACCGAGGAAGACGCAGGGGAGGGTGCGGGCAGTGAGCTTGTCCGTGCCAGAGGCACGAACGTGAGCAAGGCAGCCCCAGACGTGGAACGCAGACGCGTCACCAGGGGACCCGGTCCACAGAAGGGTCGGCGAAACCTGCGGCCGCTGGGGGTGCGGCCACAGGTTAAGCTGGTGAGCGGCGTAGCGCACGGCGAACGGCCACAGAAAATGGGGTGCACCGGCGTGGATCATGGAGGTGCGAGCCACCTCCATGACCAAACCGATGCGTCGCTCAGCGACCCCATTCTGCTGCGGGGAGTCCGGCAGGGTAAACGTCTGGGTGATGCCCTCCGCACGACAGAAGCGACCAAGGACACCTGAGGCGAACTCGCCACCCCGGTCGGAGTGGAGGCGCAAGGCAGGGAGACCGCGGTGGAGACGAGCAGAGACAAGCCAGGGGATGAGAACGTCAGGCACGTCGGCCTTCCGCTCTAGGGGAAAGACGGTGGTGTAACGTGTGAAGTCGTCGACAAGCACTAGGAAGAAGCGCTCGCGACGCGGCCCATGGACCGGGGCTGGGCCCCAGACGTCCATGTGCAGAGTCTGCAGGGGTGCGGTGGTAGGGGGAAAAGAGGAGGAGTGAGGGGCACGGCGGAGCCGGCCCTCGACACAAGGCGTGCACGGTGGGGCGGGGGATGAGGGAAACTCAGGGAACGAACCGGGGAGACCAAGGACGAGACCGTGCTGGGACATGTGACGCAGACGCGGGAGTGCAGGGTGACCAAGGCGGTGGTGCCAAAGGAGAGTCGGATGAGTGAGGGACCGACAGGAGCACGCAGCAGCAACCTGGGTGGACGCAGCTACCTGGGGGGAAGACCCAGCCGGGGACGTCGCGGTGTCAAGTGTGAACAGGCCGGACACCGGGTCCCGGGGGAAAGTGGTAAGGGGGGCACCAGTGGCGGCCTCGGTACAGACAGCATACCGCTCGTGACCAGGGAACGTAGTGGTGACGCCAAGGTCCTGGAGGCAGCCGACACCAACTAGGTTCCTGGAGAACGAGGGGATATGCAGACCGGTGAGCGAACCTGAAGGAACCGCCGGACAGGGAAGGGAGGTGGAACTGCGGGCAAAGACGGGACCACCGGAGGGGTCAGCAAGAGTAACTGCAGCAGGAACAGGCAGCGGCGTCAGCGTCGTGGAGTCGCGGAAGAAACACCGGGAGGCGCCAGAGTCCAAGGTGAAGGAAAGCGCAGCAGTCGCGCGGGGCGACAGTGAAGCGGTGGAAGCACCGAGGCTAAGCAAAGCAGGAGATCCTACGCCTGACGCAGCAGGGGAGTCTACGCTAGGCACAGCTACACTAGGCAACACGGGGTAATAAGAGGGAAGCACACTAGAGTCATCGGCATACATCACATGCAAGGCTGCTACAATGGCATCCATGTCCAAGTCAAAAATCCGAATGCTACGCCTAAGCAAGCTGTGCCAGTCCGGGAGGTCGGGCGCCGGGCCAAAGCGCTGGCGGAACAGGTCGTCCAGACGACGAAAACAGCGAGGAGTGGAATGACCGATCTTACCGCAAACGAAGCCGCGGCGAGGACCGGTCTGGATCTGGTACTGACAGGGCCCGCCTCCAGAACCACCACCCGGTGCACCACCACGCGCACGACCACCACCAGCTCCAGGCCACCCAGGCGGGAGAGCACTCGCCGGCCTCGTCTGCGGCGGCTGCTGCGGCTGCTGCGGAGGCTGCTGCTGCTGCGGCTGCTGCAACGGTGGAGGCAGCGGGGCAGCTGGACCGGGCAGGATTCCCACGTCCGCACCGGCACCGGACGACCCGCCTCCACCACTACCCCCACCCGCACCCCCGCCACCTCCGCCGCTCCCAACCTTGGGGCGGCGGCCCTTCCCCGAGCGGGACTGCACTGCAGCAGCAGTCTCAGCCACAGCGACAGAGCCGTCGGAGAAGGTACACTGAGCGGGGGCACAACCCTGAAAGATAGGGACCGGTACTGTACCGCTCGCCTGGGCTATGGAGCGGTGACGAGTCTCTATGGCAGTCAGGGTGTCAACAAAGTCGGTGAGGGTGAGAGCAGCAGGGTGGATGCTAAGGAACTGGTCGCGGGCGGCGGCAAGGCGGTCAGGGAGGCGGGTGGCAAGGAGGTAGAGGGTAGAGGTCATGGGAGGCTGGTGGACTCTAAGCTGTGCATCAGTGCAGGCAGCGCGCCAGGCCTCATCTATCGAGCGCAGGTGGGCAGCGAGGTCAGAGACAGTGGGGAAGGACGCCAGGTCAGGAAAGAGCAGGGGGAGGATCAGGCGACCCACTGAGGCAGCAGGAGGGGTAGAATAGCGCTTGATGACAGCATCGAGGTAGGCCTGGGCGGTAGTAATGGTTCTAAAGCGAGGGCGCTCAAGGGGGGGGAGGGCATTGCTAATGGCGAGCTGAGCAAGGGCATCGCGGGAAAGCCAGACAGAGCGGGCAAGGGCAGCGGCGGCAGTGGACTCGCGCTCAGCGGGCGTGGGATCAGCAGGCAGCACAGCAGGGGGGTCAGGGCAGGGGAGCATACCGTCTAGGTGTGCAGAAAGCGGGTGGCCGTCCTGCCGCTGACCAGTGAGGTGGCGGCGAAGGTCAGCCAACCACGCCTCGAACTCCAGAGGCTGACCCTCAGCATCAAAACGAAGCTCAGCAGCCATGAGGGGCAGTGGAGGACAGTGGAGTGCGGTGTAGTGCTGTGCTTTGCGGTGCAGGGCGGTGCAGTGCGGTCCAGTGCGGTGCAGTGCGATGCAGTGCGGTGCAGTGCGGTTCAGTGCGGTGCAGTGCGGTCAGTGCGGTTCAGTGAGGTGCAATGCGGTGCAAGGCGGGGCAGGAAAGTGCAGGAGGGTGCAAAGTGGTGCGGGGAACGGGGGACAGTACCAGGAAGTATGGAGGGCCGGGGCAGGCGCGACGGGGCCGGGCAGGCACGTCGAGGCCGGGCAGGCGCGACGGGGCCGGGCAGGCGCGACGAGGGGCCGGGCGGCTGCGACGGGGCCGGGCGGCTGCGACGGGGCCGGGCGGCTGCGACGGGGCCGGGCGGCTGCGACGGGGCCGGGCGGCAGCGACAAGGCCGGGCGGCAGCTACGAGGCCGGGCGGCAGCGACAGGGCCGGGCGGCAGCTACGAGGCCGGGCGGCAGCGACAGGGCCGGGCGGCAGCGACGGGGCCGGGCAGGACACAGCAGGGCCGGGCGGGGGCGACGGGGCCGGGCGGGCGCGACGGGGCCGGGCAGGTGCGACAGGGGCCGGGCAGCTGCGACAGGGGCAGGGCGGGCGCCACGGGGCCGAGAGGCCGCGACAGGGCCGAGCTGGGGCGACGGGGCCGAGCAGGGGCGACGGGGCCGAGCAGGGGCGACGGGGCCCAGGAGGGTGGATACGGGGCCCAGGGAGGAGCGCGGCAGGGCCCAGGAGGGGCGCAACAGGCCCAGGAGGGGCGCTACGGGCCCAGGAGGGGCGCAATGGGGGCCCAGGAGGGGCGCGGCGGGGCCCAGGAGGGGCGCAATGGGGGCCCAGGAGGGGCGCTACGGGCCCAGGAGGGGCACTACGGGCCTAGGAGGGGCGCGACGGGGCCTGGGAGGGGCACGACGGGGCCCAGGAGGGGCGCTACAGGGCCCAGGGAGGGCGCGACGGGTCCCTGTAGGGGCGCTACGGAGCCCAGGAGGGGCGCGACGGGGCCTGGGAGGGGCGTTACGAAGCCCAGGAGGGGCGCGACGAGGCCCAGGAGGGGCGCTACGGGGCGCTACGGGGCCTGTGAGGAGCGCGACGGGGCCCAGGAGGGGCGCTAAGGGGCGCGACGGGGCCCTGGAGGGGCGCTACGGGGCCCAGGAGGGGCGCGAAGGGGCGCGACGGGGCCCTGGAGGGGCGCTACGGGGCCCAGGAGGGGCGCTAGGGGGCGCGACGGGGCCCTGGAGGGGCGCTACAGAGCCCTGGAGGGGTGCGACGGGGGCCTGGAGGGGCGTTACGAAGCCCTGGAAGGGGGGCGCGACGGGGCCTGGAGGGGCGCTACGAGGCCCTGGAAGGGGCGCGACGGGGCTAGGGGGAGGGGTCGCGACTGGGCTCAGGAGGGGCGAGGCGAGGCTAGGAGACGCGACGGGAGGAGCGGAAGCGGTAGGGGGGGGGGGGGGGGGGGGTCGAAACCTACTCGTGATACCATATCAAACCTAGAATTGAATAATGTGAGAGAGAGAGTACACAAACATATACCTAAATATTGTACTCTCTAGAAGGTGACCCTATACAGTCTATACAAACATGATAACTACACATGTTTGACATACTGCTGTGTCATCACCTGAGCATGAGAGCGAGTGGGAAACTTATCAAAGAACCTATACAGCGCGGTTCAAGGGGTGCGACACAGAAAATTTCGAGATCCATTTTGACTGTCCGAACTAGTGTGTCCCTTCCCTTGAATCCTCGAAACTAAATGTTTGCTAGTTGACTTTTGGGTCGCGCTCGCCTTCCCGCCAAAAAAATCGTGCCATGCCTCCGTACGCGATGTCGAGGGGGAAAACAAAATACAGCAGAGTACGACAGTGCACTTTGTTTAGGAAAGACAATATCACATATGCATGTTCCACAACACCCAGGCGTTACACAAAATTAGCCTCTAATTACACCCTCAAAATTTAGAGGCATTTTGGTTACCACCCTAGGGTGCTTTATACGGGGGAATACGGGTATGAAAATCAGACAAACAGACGGATTTTGTCTGATGTCAAGGACCCTGCTGAAGAGGAACCAGCTCTGTACTGCACTGAATAGAACATGGTTCATGTTGAACTGGTGGTTGTAGTTCTGAGCCCCACGCCACGGCTGCACCACACCGTTGCATCACGGTACGTCGCGAGCGCCTCGCGACAGGAATCTGTAGCCAGGGGATGCGGTAGCTCAGCGTGCAATGGTCCCATTAACCTTGCACTTTACAATGCTCCAAATAGGCGTGGCATGCATTGCAGGTTTTATGCGGCACAGGCGGAGTCAGTGGCCCCTCACACCTGCTCCTCGGCCAGGAAATAGGGGTCACCATCAGGCGCACCACCTGCTCCGTGCCCCCCTCCCTGCTGCTCACCCCCGCCAGGCCCCTCTTGCCCTCCCCCCTCTGTTGTTTGCAACTGCCCAAAACCCTCTGCTCTCGCTGAGCCTCCACCACCAGCGACCCCAGCCCCAGCAGCATGTGCAGGGCTGTCGGTAAGCTGTCTGTACTCAGCTGCCGCGCCAGCCTGCGAGGCGTCCGGCAGCAGGGGCGGCAGGTTGGTGGTGAGCCCCACGCCTGTGGCGTGGCACCCGCGGATGTGCGGCACGTTCTCCAAGGGGCGCTTCTCCGGCTCGCCGGGGCACTGATGGGGTTGGGGGGGGGGGGGGGAGAGGGCGGGAGAGCGGGGGAGGGGGAGAGTGAGGGGGTGGAGGGGATGATGCTGGGGAGGGAAGGGGAGTATGGGCGAGATGTGGCGAAGCAGTGCACTGGTGACACCTGAGCAAATTGTGCAGCCTGGCACCACCTGGCAACTATTTCCCTGACATCATCTGTTCTCGGGCTCAAGGGGCTCAAGGGGCTCAAGGGGCTCAAGCGGCTCAAGCGGCTCAAGGGGCTCAAGGGGCTCAAGCGGCTCAAGCGGCTCAAGCGGCTCAAGGGGCTCCAGGGGCTCAAGCCCCCCCCTCCCCCCCCCCCTCAAACAATGGTACCTGCCAGAAGCGATGTTGTCATAGTCATGCAGTACCCCATAGGAGCAGGGCAAGGGCTCAAGGGGCTCAAGGGACTCGAGGGGATCGAGGGGCTCAATGAAATCGAGGGGCCCTCACCCCATCCACGAGCCCTCACCTGCACGCTCTCCTCCACTTGGTGCACGTAGCAGGGCTCGGAGGAGCCGAGCATGCAGGCGGGGCGGGCGTTGGAGCGCCAGTCAGTGTGCTTCCACTTGGCCACGTTCATGGTGAACGGCGTCACGCCCGCCAGCCCCGCCGCCACGTACCCAAACGTGGACGTGTCCGTCACCAACAGCACGTCACTGCAGGGGGGGGAGGGGGGTCGGGGGAAGCGGGAGAGGGGTAGGTATTTTGGAGATAGAGGCCAAGAAAACAAGTGGTTGCGTATGAAGAACGAACGGCTGTGAAGAGGAAAGTGATTACCTGGAGATGAGCAGAGTAGATGAGTAGACGCGTGGCAAATAAGGGCGGCTTGGAGAGGAAGTGGGGAAGCAGAGGCGGAGAGGCAGAGAGGCGAAGAGGCGAAGAGGTGAGGGAACGGCAGGACGCACCAGAAGGCGAGGAGCCACATCTCGGTGAGGGCAAGCTCGTAGTGCAACAGATCCTCCTTCTTCTCCTCGCCCTCCCCACTTAAACTGCCGGGCGCCACGCGTGTGAGGGTTTCAGGTTGATGCATGTGGGGCGATGCATGTGGGGCGATGCATGTGGGGCGATGCATGTGGGGCGATGCATGTGGGGCGAGGTACACACAAGTGTTGCAAGGCTGGTGTTTACGCAAATCGAGGGCAGTCTGCATGCAGACGGGTGAGTGCATGCAGACGGGTGAGTGCATGCAGACGGGTGAGTGCATGCAGACGGGTGAGTGCATGCAGACGGGTGAGTGCATGCAGACGGGTGAGTGCATGCAGACGGGTGAGTGCATGCACAGCCGTGAGTTGCTACAACACATTGTCTGACTGCCCACTCTCAAGGCAGTACCGGACCAGAAAACAACACCAGACTTCAGGACCGCACCAGGCCTGAAAACTGCACCAGACTTGAAGACAGCATCAAGCCTCAAGCGCACACCAGACTTATGGCAGCACCGGACCTAGAGGAAGCACCGGACCTAAGGACAGCACCGGCCGGACCTAAGGTAGCACCAAACCTGAGGACAGCGCCGGACCTGAGGACAGCACCGGACCTGAGGACAGCACCGGGCCTGAGGACAGCACCGGGCCTGCGGACAGCGCCGGACCTAAGGTCAGTACCTGAGCACCTGAGCACAGCAGCCCACCACGGCACTGAGCAGCACACCTGAGCACAGCAGCACACCTGAGCACAGCAGCGCTTAGGGCTTGCAGCGGCCCCTGAGCTTGGCGGCGTGGGCAGGGAAAATGCAAGCGCTGAATCTACGGGCAGCGCACACGTGATGCACGGCACTGAGCAGCACACACGTGGTGCACGGCACAGAGCAGCGCACACGTGGTGCACGGCACAGAGCAGCGCACACATGGTGCACGGCACCTGAGGGCAGCAGCGCACCTGAACACAGCAGGGCACCTGAGCACAGCAGAGCACCTGAGCTGAGCACGGCACCTGAGCACGGAGACGGAGCTGCCGTCCAGCGGCTTGCCCAGCATGTAGCGGTCCCTTAGCTTGGCGGCATGGGAGGGGTTGAGCGACGCCACCAGCGCGCCGATGGACCGCCCCCTCATGCCCAGCAGCGCCTCGTCTGACACCTGGGGGGAGAGAGGGGGGTGCGAGGGGCGAAGGGCTGGCTTGCTCGGCTGCCTGCACGCGCCTCGTGTGAGAAGAGAGGCCTGACTGCCTGAGATGCATGACTGCCTGAGATGCATGACTGCCTGCGGGTCTCACAACTGCCTGAGCAGCCACGGGCCTTGGAGAGGCCACGGGCCCATTACTGCAGTGCGTTGGAGAGGCCATGGCCGCCTGGCACTGCAGCTCGCACAAGGCAGCACACACCTTAACATGCCATCGCGGACGAAGGCTTCACTTGGGGTCGGTGCCAGTCAGCCGAAACTAGCTTGCGTTTTGATCTTCAAGAGGAGGTGAGTTAGGAGCTTCAGATTCTTGTGCTTTAAACAGGGGTATCTTTTTACCTACTGTCACATTTCCACTAAAGCTTTTCCTCTAAGCTGCAGCGCAGCTCAACCTTACGCTTATGGCCACAAAGCAGCACACAGCTCAAGACACCATCACGTCGCACTGACCGAGGCGGCACTGTCGCGCCACTGGTAGGTGGGCATGACAGGCGGCAGCACCCTGGCGATGTTGGTGGCGCACTCAAAGACGTTCCCCATGAGATCCTCCGGCGTCTCCTCGAATGCCCGGATCTGATGTGCACCCATGCACACACAGCAGTCGAGGTAGGCAGACGCACACACACAGAGGCCATTCACATGACATGCACATTTCACATATCGCATGCACACATTCACACACACCAATGAGATACACATGTGGACACACACATACATGCGCACATACACATGCGCACACACACATATCAGATATCACAAAGGCACACGAAGTGAATGGTGAATACATGTAGCCCCGAAGCCTCACCCCATTCTTTCCCCCTTCACAACCTCCTCCCCTCCCCTCCCCGCCTCCACTCCCTCTCCCACGTCCCATCCTGTCCTCCCTTGCAACCCCCCTCCCCCCTCTCTCCCTCTCGCCATACCTGCAGCCCCACCGCGAGCTGGTGCGCTCGTACCTGCAGCCCCACCGCGAGCTGGTGCGCTCGTACCTGCAGCCCCACCGCAAGCTGGTGCGCTCGTACCTGCAGCCCCACCGCGAGCTGGTGCGCTCGTACCTGCAGCCCTGAACGAACCTGAAACCCTCAAGCCCGGAACCCTCAAGCCCGGAACCCTCAAGCCCGGAACCCTTTAGCCCGGAACTCTCAAGCCCGGAACGCTGAGGCGGCACCTGCAGGCCGACCGTGAGGGCGTGGTGCGCGAGGTGGCCGTGGAAAAGGCGCGTGATGCGGTCCCACAGGTAGTTGGCTGGGTGCAGCAGGTACCTGGGGGGGGGGGAAGGGGAGGAGAGGGGAGGCGAGGTGAGGAGAAGCAAGGCGCTATTGAGGGAGGGGACACAAGGATGGCGAAAACGAATGGAGGGTGAGCAAGCAGGAAACGAATTGGGTCAGAGGGGGGGAGTTGACCAGGTGGGGAGGAGGAGAGGGGGAATGAGCTGGTGATGAAGGAGGCAGCAGAACACTCACAACCTCTAGGCATGGTGGGAGGAAGGCGTGTAAGGGGAAGTGAGAGGAATGGGAGGCGTGGGTGCAGGGTGGTGTGGGTGCAGGGTGGTGTGGGTGCAGGGTGGTGTGGGTGGAGACTGACCGCGAGAGGTGGGTGAAGACGCGGCGGTCAGGGAAGAGGTGGTCCAGCTGGACCTGTGGGGCGAGGCAGAGGCCGGGACAGGAGGCCAGTGGGAGGGAGAGGGAGAGGCGCCAAGGGAGTGGGAGCGAGAGGGAGGGAGAATGGGCAAGCGAGCGCGGAGGCAAAGCAGCAAGACTGACATGCTGAGCGATGGGAGCAGGACGACGGGAGCCATGAGAGAGTGAGCAGTAAGGCGGTGAGAAAGCGGGAGGTGCATCAAGGCGTGCGTTCCATGGTCCACCATGGTTCATTATCATGTCTCCAAGTGCCTGCAGCATGGGCACCATGTACAAGTACACCTGCCTGCAGCATGGGCACCATGTACAAGTGCACCTGCCTGCAGCATGGGCACCATGTACAAGTGCACCTGCCTGCAGCATGGGCACCATGTACAAGTGCACCTGCCTGCAGCATGGGCACCATGTAGAAGTGCGGCACGAGGAAGTAGTCGGTGTACAGCGTGGCGAAGCGCGCCCCCGCCATCTCGCGCTGTTCCGCCTCACAGAACATGCCCCACGCGTCCGCCTTGGTACTGGGGGAAGGAAGGCAGCAGGGAGAAAGCAGGGACTTGAATGAGGAAGTGAGAAGATGCGAGAAAGAAAACAAGGGCGGTAAACCAGTAGCCATACTTTGCCATGTCTATTTTACAACCAGTTCCATCACCACCATGATCATCTGCATGCTGACGTCACTCACTCCCATGACATGCGTATGCTGACGTCACTCACTCCCATGACATGTGCATGCTGACGTCATGCCCGTCCCATCCGTTCACGAGCCCACGGTTGCGAGCGATCGACCCGTGCACCGACCCGGAGATGGCGCTGGGGGGAGAAGAGGGGGGGGGATGTGAGAAGCAGGGGTTTGTGGCGAGAGGTGAGAAGGGAGAAGGCGCGAGGTGAGAGGGGTTTGGTGCGCTACCTGCCAGGCATGCAAGGTGGTGCGCTCCCTGCCAGGCATGCAAGGTGGTGCGCTCCCTGCCAGGCATGCAAGGTGGTGCGCTCCAGGCAGTGAGGCAGTGAGGGCTGCAGCAACATGCGGGGGAAGAGGGCCATGCACCTGGACGCACGTAAGGAAGTCGGAATGTGACATGGCAATGTGGCACGAAAATGAGAAAACTGTATGCACACATCGCGACTCGCGTGAAGGCATGGAGGCTCACTTGAAGGCATTTCGGCATAGCGGCTCACTTGGAGGGATCGCGGCATGGAGGCTCACTTGAAGGCATTTCGGCATAGCGGCTCACTTGGAGGGATCGCGGCATGGAGGCTCACTTGAAGGGATCGCGGCATAGCGGCTCACTTGAAGGCATTGTGGCATGGAGGCTCACTTGAAGGCGTGGAGGCTCACTTGAAGGCGTGGAGGCTCACTTGAAGGCGTGGAGGCTCACTTGAAGGCGTGGAGGCTCACTTGAAGGCGTGGAGGCTCACTTGAAGGCATCGAGGGGGATGGTCCAGGAGGAGCCGGCGAAAGGTTCGCAGAAGAAGCGGTGGATGAAGGAGTCCGGGGAGATGAGCAGCGTGCGGTTCGTCAGCAGCGCGTACGAGAATGCTGACATCAGCGCCATTATGCGGTTGCCCACCCCTGCGGTAAGGCAATAGGAGAAACAAGGCAACGTAGAGATAGACGAGGGGAGAGGGAGCCACGTTCACAACGGCATGCTACAATCGCCCTGAGCGACCCTCACTCTACGCCACCTCAGCACCTAACCACCTCCTCCCACCCCCCTTCCATCCAGCCCCTGCGTTGCCACGTACCCTCCCAGCTTCTCATCCCTCACTCTGCTCCTTGCTTCTCCCAGCTTCTCATCCCTCACTCTGCTCCTTGCTCCGAGCACAAGCAGTTGGTGCCAGGGTTCAAAATTACGGCGTTTTTTATATTTTTAGCCCGTATTTTACGGTTTCGTAATTTACGGCCGTATAATATGAATATTACGGCTCGAAATCACCTTTTTTTGGGTTGGTTAAAAAAAGCGGCCGTTTTTTACGGCCGTTTTTTTAAATCTGTGGTGTACATTCAGAATCTCGAATTCCGTACCAGAATTTTTGGGATGGGGGTACACGCGCACCCCCAAATGTTCATAAGTAAACGTTTTCCCGAAGCACGAATTCACCCGAACCCCGAGTCACGCATTTTACCAAAATTTTCTTGTGCCGTTATGAAAGAACCCCTCCCTTCGCGAAACCCGTTGGTTATTTCGCGCCCAGTAGGGTGGTCTCGCGCAATTTGCGAAACCACCCTGTCGAAGCGTGTTTCAAAAACAGAACCCAATGGATTTTGGTTCTCTTTGAAGCCTTTCTCAACCCAACTTCGAAGTGTGTGAGATACAAATACAGAGGACGTTTTCTAAGCTACCACAGGATGTAGTTGGAGCGTTTTTCTGGCTGGAATCTAAGCCACTTTACTCTACCGCCTAGCAACTCCATATTTCCATGTTTGTAGGTGCCATGGTGCATTACTAAGCATCCAGTTGACGTTGAAACCGCATAGGAGCCATTCCCCCTCGGAAAAAAATAAAACCATGTGCTCTATTTAAATTACGCCGTTTTTTTCCCGAACTGCCCGAAAAAAACGGTCGTAATTTACGGACTGTATTTTTCGAAAACCGTAATTTTGAACCTTGGTTGGCGCAGTAGCAAGCAGTTGGTGCAGTAGCAAGCAGTTGGCGCAGTAGCAAGCAGTTGGCGCAGTAGCAAGCAGTTGGTGCAGTAGCAAGCAGTTGGCACAGTAGCAAGCAGTTGGTGTAGTAGCAAGCAGTTGGCGCAGTAGCAAGCAGTTGGCGCAGTAGCAAGCAGTTGGCGCAGTAGCAAGCAGTTGGCGCAGTAGCAAGCAGTTGGCGCAGTAGCAAGCAGTTGGTGCAGTAGCAAGCAGTTGGTGCAGTAGCAAGCAGTTGGCGCAGTAGCAAGCAGTTGGCACAGTAGCAAGCAGTTGGCGCAGTAGCAAGCAGTTGGCGCAGTAGCAAGCAGTTGGCGCAGTAGCAAGCAGTTGGCGCAGTAGCAAGCAGTTGGCGCAGTAGCAAGCAGTTGGTGCAGTAGCAAGCAGTTGGTGCAGTAGCAAGCAGTTGGCGCAGTAGCAAGCAGTTGGCACAGTAGCAAGCAGTTGGCGCAGTAGCAAGCAGTTGGCGCAGTAGCAAGCAGTTGGCGCAGTAGCAAGCAGTTGGCGCAGTAGCAAGCAGTTGGCGCAGTAGCAAGCAGTTGGCGCAGTAGCAAGCAGTTGGCGCAGTAGCAAGCAGTTGGTGCAGTAGCAAGCAGTTGGCGCAGTAGCAAGCAGTTGGCGCAGTGCAATGGCTGCTAGGTCAGAATGAAACACCTCGTTGAACCCAATTGAGGTGCTTCTTCGAATCGAACATGATTCCAAAGTCAAAGGTTCTCCGTTGTTATTTGTGCTTACGAGCCTGTTCAGCCGCTCACCCACCATGGCGGCTGGGCGGCAGGTACAAGAGGTACTTGCAGTCCCCCAGCGCCTGCATGCCGTCCCTCCACCCCGCCGACCTGAGGCGCCGCGCACAGCGCCATGATGGGGGGGAGGGCACAGGGGAAGGGGGAGATGGATTGGGACGAGGGGAGAGGGATGGGAGAGGGGGATGGGGGAGGGGGGGAGAAGGATGGGAAGTGACTTGGGAGCTTCATGGGTGGCGGTTGAAGGCTCACGGGCAGCGGTGGAAGGCTCACGGGTGGCGGTGGAAGGCTCACGGGTAGCGGTGGAAGGCTCACGGGTGGCGGTAGAAGGCTCACGGGTGGCGGTAGAAGGCTCACGGGTGGCGGTAGAAGGCGTGCCAGTCGGCGACCTGCGTGCAGCGGCGGTGCATGCGGCGGTACTCCGACAGGCGCCGCCTCAACGCCAGCGATGGCGGCAGTTGGCGGTCGGGGCGCTGGGGGGAGAGGGAGGGGGAGAGGGGGGGGTGGAAGGGGGAAGGGCGGGGAGAATGGCGAGAGTGAGAATTGTGGAGGAGAATAGAGAGAGAAAAGTACCAGAGGAGATGAGAGAAAAGTACCAGAGGAAGATGAGAGAAAAGTACCAGAGGAAGATGAGAGAAAAGTACCAGAGGAAGATGAGAGAAAATTACCAGAGGAAGATGAGAGAAAAGTACCAGAGGAAGATGAGAGAAAAGTACCAGAGGAAGATGAGAGAAAAGTACCAGAGGAAGATGAGAGAAAAGTACCAGAGGAAGATGAGAGAAAAGTACCAGAGGAAGATGAGAGAAAAGTACCAGAGGAAGATGAGAGGCGGGGGACGAGAGAAGGGAGCGGCGAACAATGACATACATCACCACACGCATGCACATCTCACCACATGCATGCACATCTCACCACATGCATGCGCATCTCACCACATGCATGCGCATCTCACCACATGCATGCGCATCTCACCACATGCATGCGCATCTCACCGTGACATACATGCGCATCTCCCACTGGCTCCAGCAGTTGTCTCCCGCCCGCCGCACATGCCGTCTGAACCCATCCGCCCACATTCCACGGCCCCCCATGCCCCCATGCCCGCCCATGCCCCCATGGCCGCCCATGCCCCCTTGCTCAAGGCTGCTCCCAGATGCCTCGGGATTACCATCTCTGCTGCCCCCAGCGTCACCACCACCAGTGCTGACGTCATGGCTGCCATTCCCCCCCTCACTGCCATCCCCGTCCAACAGCCGGCGTCGCCCAGCCATCCTATGGCTCCCCCCACCTTGGCTTCTCCCCCCTCGCCTCCCCTGCCCTTGGCTGCGCACGTCTCTTCCCCGCCCGTCGCTGCCAGTAGGCCCCCTGTGAGGCGAGTGGCCCCCCTCGCTGCTGCTGCTGCTGCTGCTCGCCCCCGTGCCTTGAAGCAGCAGCGACTGGCAGCGTGGCCAGAGGGGACGGTGGGGCATGAAAGGTGCAGAGAATGGTGAGGGGTGAGCGGTGAGCGGTGAGCGGTGAGCGGTGAGCGGTGAGCGGTGAGCGGTGAGCGGTGAGCGGTGAGCGGTGAGCGGTGAGCGGTGAGCGGTGAGGGGTGAGCGGTGAGCGGTGAGCGGTGAGGGGTGAGCGGTGAGCGGTGAGCGGTGAGCGGTGAGGGGTGAGCGGTGAGCGGTGAGCGGTGAGCGGTGAGCGGTGAGCGGTGAGGGGTGAGCGGTGAGCGGTGAGCGGTGAGGGGTAAGCGGTCAGTCTAGTATGCCATGCCAAACCAGTGTGTTCCATCCAACCCCATCGCACCCGCACCATCCCACCGCATCCCATCCCATTCCACTCCATCCCACCTCAACCTATTCCACGCCATGCCGTGCCATCCAGTGCCCACTCACCACGATGCGCTGAGGCAAGCCCATGCCTCCATCCTCCTCCGCTCCACTCACAGCCTCTGTATTGCGCGCCATCGCCGGACCCCAGGCTTCCCATTCCCCCTCCCCCTCCCGCTCCTCCCGCCCCTCTGACCAGTTTCCCCTTGGCACGCCATCATGCGCCGCCTGCTGCGACTGCCGCCCAGCCACCCACCCGCCCGAGTCGTCACTGCCAGCCCCGTCCCGGACGCCCCCAACCGCGCCATGGCTCATTCTAATCCCTCTCTTCCCCGCCCTCACGCCACCCTCTGTTTCAGCCCCTCCCCCCTTCCACACCTCGTCTTCTCCGCCCACCGTCCATCCAGTGCGATCCCGCGCCTCACGGAATCCATATCTTTGCGGTACGGGCACTGACTGGCCCGTCGTCGCTCTAGTTGAAGCCCCGTTCCCAACCTTTTCACCCGCGGAGCCGCCCCACAGCAACATCGCCGCCACTAGCGCCGCGACGCGCGCGAGAGCCGTTAGAGCGCGCTGATCGGAGCGTCGCGCAGGTGGCCCCATAATGGAATGGCCAGGGGACGCGCGGTGCCGCGAGGGGGATGCGGACTCGCGGGAGGGCGACAGCGATGGGCGCGAGGAGATGTCCCAAAAAAGAGGGGTCCTAAAAGTTCCCCACCGTTGTTCGTTACCTCACACCTGACCCCAACACTCACAGAAAACCAACCACGCGAAAAGACCGTGTCACGAGTAATTCGCAAACCAGACTGTACAGGCGGTAACTCGCCGCTGATTGGCGATAATATCCCCAGTGCAACGGGATTCGGTACTAAAACGCACACCAATTACCATATCGGGGTGACGTTTATACATGCCACCAATAATCACGTGCCACCAATAACAAAATCAAAGCAACAAAAATATGCATACTTGCCCTCATATTTTTTGGATTGCGGAGCAACCTATTGCGATCGATCGGACCTATATTTTTTTTTTCAAGTTTTGGGGCTAAAAATTGCGAAAGAATAAAGAAATTATATCATATTTCACTTTTAGAGTTTCCTAAATCACTTCTATATTTATAAACCTAGTTAATAATGCTGAAATATGCACTACATAGTGTAACTGATTAGTTACACACTTACATTTAGTAATCGTGATGGAAACTTAAAAACAATGTGTTTCTGTTTCCACAATTTTCCGTGCGTATTTTTTTCAATGACAAAAATAAGCTATCGCTTCCCCAGTTAAGTGGGGGAAGCATAAAGCTTTTTGCACAAATGAAGCAATACAATTTTGTGAGCTCCAAAAATGGATTGCACTTAACACTTTCAGTTCAAGTGACTGCACTCAAAGAAAGAGTCAAAGAAAGAACCTTATGTTAAAATTATATAAGTTATAATTTAATACAGGCTTGGTAGGTTCTTACTGAACCTTTCTGTAGAGCGTACAATCCCCTCCTTGTACTGCTCTCTCTTCCTAATCCCAACTCTTCTTTCTCGTCACCTCTTCTCCTCACGCTCCTAGATCTACCTTCCGCACACCATTCCATGGCGCCCTTCCTTCCTTCCTAGCTAAGCTAGGGTCCTAAGTTTAGTTCCTATCCTAAGCTTCTTTGATACCTTACGTAAAATGAAAGGCACAAAACCACTTTTTGAGACAAACAAAAGATGTATTACCGATGCAATGAATGAATGAAACCATTCCACTCACAACGCATGAGTCACTCCTAACATTGCAAATCAGATGCACAAAGATGCCACATTTTGTTAAGCTTCAAATCTCTGAGACATAGGTACATGGCTTCATTGGTGCCATCCAGGGATAGTTAGGCGTTTTCAAAAACAGTTGAAACCTTGAGTCAACAAGAATCAGAGAATCAAGAAGAGAGTAAATCACTTTTGAAATAGAAGAGGGAATGGAAAGGTATAGAGCGGGCGAACAGGTGATGAAACTAAAACGGAAGAGATAAAGACGGGCGAAGTGGAGGATGGAAAGGAGCGAAGGGAGAGAAAGGAGGGAGAGGAAATAGTATAATGTAAAGGGAGTGAGGGAAGAGAGATAAATTGCATAGTGTGCGTTGTAGATGAAGTCCGCTCGATTATCCTCTCTTCAAGCTTGAGATTGAGCTAATCGGGGGAGACAAATAAGAGGAAATGGGAAACATAGAGAAAGAATTGAGAGGATACAAAATGAGGAGAGTAAGGAATAAGGCTGAGAATCCGTCGGAAAAGGAGACGTTAGATAAAGGAGAGGATGTAACGGAGTGAAAAGGAAGGACCGTTCATGAGAGGTGTTGCAAGTGAAGAAATCGAGCTTGAATAGTGCGCTGTCTAGATTATCCAGCTGACTATTTCGAACGCCGCATCCCTCAGTCGACGTAGGATCTAGGCATAGGAAATAGAGGAGCGTAGAAAATGTGGAAGAAACTAATCTAAGGAAGCTCGATTTTGTTAGGAACGTCAGAGCTTAGGTAGGAAACAGAGAGCGCAAGGTGAAGAGACACGCTACAGGATGAAACCCTACGGAATGAAGAGACACGCAAGATTCATCGCAAAAACAAACAATTAGGACGTGTTTTACTCGATACGCTCAGGATAGGTTAGCGCAATTGTTTGATATTCAGCAATTGTTCGTAAAGTCATCAGAACGATCCACGTCGGGTCCGTTTTATGGCAAGGGACTGTGTGAGAGTACGACCCCGTTACACCACTTGTCCCTTTTCTTATTTCCTTCCTCGTTCATTTCTCTTATCTCATTTGGTTTCCTATTCTCCCTTTTCACTTAACCTTTGGTTTATCCTGCTATTGTAATTATATCACCGACCAGGCTTGGGATGTACTGGTGCGCTATCTGGCGTAATCCTGCCGTAATCCCTTAAAGCCAATAGCCTCGCGTGGCTATACGCGGGGTGATTCTATCTTCTAGAAGGGTCTATTCTCTTAGGATAAGATAAACCTGGTTACCTGATGTACTTTGGAAGTATAAAAGCGCCTTGTACTGATCGATAGTACAACCTTTCCTCGATACATTCGATCTTGTGACACTTGGTATCAGAGCTTTTCTCACTCGACCGCGCTCAGCTAAACAGCAGCAGCGGGGATCCTGCCTCGAAAAACCGCCGGGGGCGACCAATTCGACGCCGATTCTGGTAAGCACCAGCTCCGCGATTTTCGAATTACCCCCTCCGTGCGTGTTTTGAACAGGATGGCAACCTTCGACAACGCCGAGGTTACCCAGCGGCTCTTCGCGCGCATCGCAGCCCTTCAGGAGGAAATGCGAGCGGATCGCGAAGCGTGGCGAAACCAGTTCGAGCGAGTAACTCGACTCGCCGGAGCGCAGCACGAGACGACAACGGCGACGACGCAGCAGTCGCAGCAGTTTCTCGAGGCTCCGAAACCGCGCCCACCTGAGCCGTTCGATCCGAGCGATCGAAACTCCGACGCCCGCAGATGGATCGCTGGGATGGAGATCTACTTCGCAGCCGTCGGATGGAGCTCGCCAGTCTGGGACGGTCAACGCGTACGACTCGCGGCGACACTGATGCGAGGGCCAGTACTCGAATGGATTGGCGGCAACAGTACTTTCATCCACGGTGAAGCCACGTGGCAGCAGTTCCGCACCGACCTGCTGAAACGCTTCGAACCGATAAATTCGAGTTTCCTTGCCCGGGAAAAAATTCATCGACACCGACAGTTCGGGAGTGTAGCGCAGTACACGCAGCAGATGGAGGAATTTTATAACCGCATTCCCGACCTGACCGAAGGGGAAAAAGTACAATCATACCTCGCCGGGCTGAAGACCGAAGTCAAACGACACGTCGCAGCGTCAAACTACGCGAGCTACAGTGACGTCGTTTCGGCAGCGGAGCGCTTCGACATGGTCAACGCTGGAACACGACGGACGCACGTCGGCAGTACGCGACAGGGCGACCGCTCGGCTCACCCCACGTTCGCCGACCCGATGGAAGTCGACAGATTCGAGGGGCGGCCACGTCCGAAAAACACCAACTACACGTGTGATTTTTGCGGGGTGCCGGGCCACCGAATCTTCGACTGCAGCAAAATGAAGACCGCACGCGCAGAGTATCGGGCACGCAACAGTGGCGGAATTCCTTCAGCCAATCAGAAGTAAAAAAACGGGAGTCGCCAGTGATTGCGGATCTAGCTGGCGAAAATAAAAAGATCCGAAAGCGGCCGCGGGATTCCGGAAAAATCAACTTCGACGAAGCTGATTCGACGCGAGAAGGAGGAAATGATGGGGGAAAATCTCCACCCCACGACCAGTCCTCGCCAGGGAAAATCGCCGAGGGAAAATATGACTCCGCGAAGGAAAGACTCTGCCGAGACGGGGAAACTCCTTGAAGACCCAAGAAATTATAAGAATTCGTTAAAGTTATCTTATAAAGATGCTTTAATGAACACTTATGAATTTCGAGGGGCTAGAGCCTTGGAGAAATTTCGGGAGGGACTCCAAAAGAAGCAGACAGCTGTGGAGATTATACCGGTACCGGAAAACCTGGGGACCAAATTAAGGAGTGTGGAAAGAAGCCGACCTTTCCACGGAGTCAACGTCCTCTCCAGACACCAGCCCACAACGACTACCCGTTCCCCAGGGAAGACGTCGGTGGAGCTGAAGCAGCTCAAGAGAAAGCTGGGGGTCTACAAGAAGCTGCACAAACCCCGAACTCCTCCTACGGATGCATCCAGTTCTTCGGCATCAGTGACGCGCACAGTCGTCAAAGAAAATCCGGGCCCTGGAGAAGAGCCGTTCTCCAAGCAGCCTCGGCCAGCTGCCAGCTCAGGAGTAGATAGCAGCACACAGGTGTGTACGGAGTATTGGGATGTACCCTATGACCCAGTCAATGAAACTATCTTTGGGTACTTCGAGCAACGACTGCCCCTCGTGCTCGAGGTCATCTGCAAAGGACGACGCCTCCAAGCACTCGTGGACAGCGGAGCATCACACACCGTCTGCAACAAGGCAGTAATCGACCGACTACGGGGAGAGTACAAGCCTTCAGGATTCTCTGCAACGATGGTGGACGGCAGCAAGTTACCAGTACACGGCGAAGCAGTGCTACACCTACAAATTGGACCACTGCGCTGGAGACCTGCACTCCCCATCACCAACATCAAAGGGCTTGACTTGATCTTCGGGCGAGACTTCCTGAAAAGATTCAACCCCGAGATCAACTGGGTGAACTGCACCGCAAGCATCTACAACAATGGACGGAGAATACAGTTACCCAACTGGGACGATACTGGAGATATCCCAGTGGAGACACTCGCACGATTCGAGAAGGACGTAAAACGGACCGACACCGGGTTCCTGGCGATAGCAACAGAGGTGGAAAATGACGGAGAGAAAGCCTCGGAAACTCCAGAAAAAATCAAGGAATTACTGAAGGAGTTCCAAGACATTCTTCCTGACGATCTTCCGAACGAGCTACCGCCATACCGAACGCATCAACACGAGATCGTGGAGGAACCGGGTTCGAAGCCGACCTTCCGAGCACCATACCGGCTCAGCCCTACGGAGCTGACTGACATGAAAAAACAGATCGAGTATCTCCTAGCCAAAGGACTCATCCGGCCATCCACTTCGCCATACGGTGCCCCAGTACTCTTCACCCCGAAACCGGACGGAAGCCTGCGCATGTGCATCGACTACCGAGCTCTTAACAAGCAGACCATCAAGAATAAATATCCGATACCGCGAATCGATGACCTGCTTGACCAGCTTCGGGGAGCTACGGTATTTTCCAAACTGGATCTGCGGTCCGGATACTGGCAGATACGGATGGCGGACAACTCTATCCACAAAACTGCTTTTCGAAGTCGGTACGGATCGTACGAGTATTTGGTAATGCCGTTCGGACTCACCAACGCGCCGGCAACATTCCAAGCCGAAATGAACCACATTCTACGACCAATGCTGGATGAATGCGTGGTAGTGTACCTGGACGACATCCTCATCTACTCGCGCGACATGAAGCAGCACGTCGAACACCTGCGACGCGTCTTCGAAATTCTTCGACGGGAACGTTTTTACGTCAAACTGTCCAAGAGCGAATTCGCCCTTGAAAAGGTCCAATTCCTAGGACACATGGTGAGCGCTCGAGGAGTTCACGTCGACCCCAAGAAAATCGAGGCCGTACGCACGTGGAAAACGCCAGAGAACGTGAAGGAGTTGCAGCAGTTCCTAGGCTTCGCTAATTACTACAACAGATTCGTGCCACAGTATGCGAAAATCGCAGCACCACTCACGAATCTGCTGAAGAAGAACACGCCCTACAAATGGGAGACGAAGCAGGCGGCAGGTCCGGTGGATTGACTTCCTCGAGACACACTTCCACTACGACATCGTGTACAAGCCCGGCCACAAAAACAAAGCAGACGCCCTCAGCCGGCCTGCGCACGTTGCCGCTATTCAGGCCGAAGGGATGAATCCACTACTCAAGGGACTCTTTGCAAACGGGTACGCCATCGACCCCGAAATTCCCTTGGCAGAAAAGCGACATCTGCTACAGTGGGACAGTGACATCGCGTACCGGAAGGGATCAACAAAAATCTGGGTACCCAATTACCCTCCTTTGCGCCAGTTACTACTCGAAGAATACCACGATGTCCTGTACGCCGGACACTTCGGTAGCAACAAGACGCTCACCAGTATCGCCAAACACTACTACTGGCCCCAGATGGCAGACGACGTCCAGAAATTCGTCACCTCGTGTGATACATGTCAGCGGATGAAGAGCAGCAAGCAGAAAAAGGCGGGACTACTGCAGCCTCTTCCTGTCCCAGAACAGCCATGGCAAGTGGTTAGCCTAGACTTCATCACCGGGTTACCACCTACCTCCAGCGGTCATGACGCCATCCTTGTCGTCATTGACAAGTTCTCCAAAATGGGACACTTCATCCCGACACACACGACGGCACGCACCGAGGAGACAGCACAGCTCTTCGTTCGTCATATCATTTCACAGCATGGCATCCCAACCACACTCATTTCCGACCGAGACCCCAAGTTCACCAGCAAGTTCTGGAAGGAACTCATGTCTCTACTCGGCACCAAACTCGCCATGTCATCCGCATACCATCCGCAGACAGACGGACAGACCGAGCGCCTTAACCAGATTGTGGAGCAACTCCTCCGAGCAGCCTGCAAAGACGACATCTCCAAATGGGACTTGCACCTGCCCGTACTAGAGTTTGCTTACAACAATGCTTCCATGTCCAGCTTCTGAAGCCCTACCGGGATCCGAACACGATCTTCGTCGGACGCCAACCGCCGCCGCCGCCGCCCGTCCTCGTCCACAATGAACCCGAGTACGAGGTCGAATCCGTGCTAGCACACCGCCGACGTCGGAATGGCACCGTGGAGCTTCTCATCCGTTGGAAGGGTTATGATCCTTCTGAGGACAGCTGGGTCCCTGAGTCCGACATGGGTAACGCCCGTCGTCCTCTGCATGACTACCTTGTCAAGCAGGGTGTTACTTCTACCACCCAGCTTTGAGGGGGGAAGTGTGAGAGTACGACCCCGTTACACCACTTGTCCCTTTTCTTATTTCCTTCCTCGTTCATTTCTCTTATCTCATTTGGTTTCCTATTCTCCCTTTTCCCTTAACCTTTGGTTTATCCTGCTATTGTAATTATATCACCGACCAGGCTTGGGATGTACTGGTGCGCTATCTGGCGTAATCCTGCCGTTATCCCTTAAAGCCAATAGCCTCGCGTGGCTATACGCAGGGTGATTCTATCTTCTAGAAGGGTCTATTCCCTTAGGATAAGATAAACCTGGTTACCTGATGTACTTTGGAAGTATAAAAGCGCCTTGTAATGATCGATAGTACAACCTTTCCTCGACACATTCGATACTGTGACAGACTGAAAGTCCTAAAATCTCTTGCAGGGAATATGTTCTTGCAGATGCACTCACTACCACCTAGAATGTATGAACATTTCTTCTTACAAAAACAAACAATTGAAGCAAAATACTATCTTAAAATGTTATATTCTACTGCTCCGCAACCCTAAGACGACCTCGTCGCCTCTTGTTTTTTATCCGCTAAGGCCTAATGGATTTGTTGGATCCAAAAAAAATATCACATTCAGAAAACCAATTGGACCGCGCATGGATGATACATACCGTACAACATTTTTTTGTTCGCACTGTATAGTCATTATCCGAACGTCAGTTCCTTTCCAAATTTGGTTTCGGTCTGGTCGATTCTGACACATCCGGCTGAGTAGTGATGTACTGTAGTGACGTGACAAGGATGTGCCGAAACGTAATGGCTCCGGATAGGATGTTATGTCTTCGAGACACGCTGGCTTCGCTGTAACTTTTCGCACCCAGCGAAAAAAATCACTTCGTCAACAAATCAGCACGCGCCGAGGTCCAATGCTTTCGTCGCGTTGGAGCATGAGCTGTCGGAACCGAAGGGGCCTCTCATATTCTAGGTTTTGCGTCCTTCCTGAGCTCCCATTTCATCCACTCTCCCCCGACGTCCTCTCATCCCTCGTTGCACTGTCTCACGCCCTTATTGAATTAGGTTGGCATTATTTTTTTTCGCCGCCATGCATTCTGATACGCTATACCAAGTTACGCCACTACACCGCCGCATCCTTCCTTCGCTGCCTACCCTCTCACCCAATTCTGTTTTTCGTCCCCCTCTTTCTGTTGTGTGTTTCTACAATGCTCCGGGAAAATGCAAGCCCAACGTGAACGCTAGCTTCAGCAACGGGACGTGTCGTGGCGGTTCGCTTTTGTCCGTGCCCCGCTTTTCGGCGCAGAACTCTCGCATACTGCTGTCAGCGCTAATTTACCTCGTTCGGTATGTAACAGAAAGAAAGAAAGAATGACTAGAGTGGTGAGATACAAGGCAATATATTCTAGAGAGTTGTACCCACTAAGGCACAAACATATATAGTCTACAGTAACTGCATAAGCTATGTTTGACACACCCCCTAGACTATATAGGGGCAGTGCCTAACAAAGGGAAGAAGCAGCTCAGGGCGGCACTACTAGTCCAGCCTCTGAGACAAGGGTCTAAAGACCAGTCAAAAGGAGTACAGACAAGGCAAGAGCAAGACCAGGGCGACACTACTAGTCCAGCCAATGGGAGAGGCCACAAGGCCAGTCAAGGTAAATATATATATATATATATACATATATATATATATAAAGGACAGTACAAGGTCAAAACCCTAGCAAGTGAGAGGCTAGAGGAACGAGACCTAGCTGTACACAATGCCGCAGATGATCTTTAGGCTCAAGCGCCTTCGTAAAGATATCAGCTGTGTTGGCACCGGAGGCCAAGTGTACTACGCGCGCCTGGCGGCGCTGCTGGAGCTCACGCAGGAGGAAGTACCGCAGCTGGATGTGCTTCGCTCTGCCCTCGAGTCGAGGCACCTGACATAGGACGATCATGGCCCTGTTGTCAGCGTACAGGACCAGGGCAGAGCTAGGCCGCTCACCTAAGTCAGTGAGCAAGAAGGTCAGCCAGCGGAGCTCCTGTGCCGCCATGGCACCAGCGTAGATCTCGGCCTCACAGCTGGACTGGGCAACAGACGAGGAGCGGGTAGCTCTCCACGAGACGACGCCCGAACCAAGTCTGAAGCAGTAGCCCTGCGAGGACCTGAGGGTCTTGGCGTCTTCTGCCCAACAAGCGTCTGTGTGTCCAGTAAGGACCACTGACCTGCGTCCTCCTAGCACTAACCCCATGCCCGATGTACTTGCAAGATAACGCAAAATCCTCTTAGCGGCAGACCAATGCTGAGGTCGGTGTCTGCCTGTAGCCACAAAGCGAGCGAGGATGCTGAGAGGGTATGCGAGATCCGGGCGAGTGCAAGTCATCAGGTACATGAGGCAACCCACCAGCTCTGCGTAAGGACCACTGGGCTCTGCTGACTCCTCAGGAACTAGAGCGGAGAGCATGTGGTCTAGAGGCAGAGGAGTAGGCTGTGCGGAGGAGAACTGAAGGCCGAACCTCTCAAGGACCTTGCGCACCAAGTGTGACTGAGTCAAAGTGATGGTGCGCGCTGCTCTGTCCCCAGAGATCTGCAAGCCAAGGTAGTGGCGCAGTTCTCCAAGGTCAGTGCAAGTGTGTCTCTTTCGAGGAACAAGAGGACAAGAGGCACGCAGGTAGTCAGACAGAGGGGGGGGAGCAACAACAAGGGAGGACGGAGGGGGCGACGGGAGAAGGGGAGGACGAGCCGCGTGGGAACGAATCAACATAGGGTGAGAGCGCGAGACAGGGGAGAAAGGTCGAGCACGGGAGGGGCGGCGAGACCAGACATGAGATGGAGGAGTCGGGTCAAGAGTCAGAGGAGGGGACACAAGAGGGGAATGAGGGGGGAAACGGAACGGAGACGAGTCCGGAGGAGGGAAGACAGGGCCGTAGACAAGAGGAGGAGGAGGAGGCACGGGGACGAGGTCAAGGGACGGAAGGCCAAGCGGACGAAGAGCAGACACCGACGGGGACTGCTGCAGCGGCGGTGTGACACCGACACCGGGACCGCAAGCGGCCTGGCGGCTACCTCGAGAACACTCCATGCCAGCACCCCCAGAAGGAACACCCCTAGAGCTCAGAACCCCTCGAGCACCGGTACCACCCCCAGGCCCGCCGGGACAAGCCACGACAGGAGTCCCAGGACTTGTTCCCACCCCAACTCCAGCACCCCCAGAGGCAACAAACGGCTGCAAAGACGGCGGCTGCGACAGCGGGGGCGACGGCGGCTGCGGAGGTGGCGGAGGAGGGGACACCGGAGAAGGGTCAGGCAGCGAGGACTGCGCCACAGGACCACCAGAGTCAGCAGACTCCTCAACCGGGACAACGTAAGGGGGGTTACGTGGGACACACCAGAGGGGGCAGGACGGAAAGGGGGAGGGGGAGGGGCGGCGATGACCGGGGAAGGGGGGACCAGGAACAGGGGGGGTTTAACCGGGGAACCGCGGTGGGGGAAGCGGCGGAAGAAGGAGACGGACTCGTCAAAGATGACGTCGCAGGAGTGAAAGAACCGGTGAGACTGCGGGTGGTAAAAGTGCCAGTCAGACGCGTCAAGGGGGAAGCCAAGGAAGACACAAGGAAGGGTGCAGGCAGTGAGCTTGTCCATGCCAGAGGCACGAACGTGAGCAAGACAGCCCCAGACGTGGAACGCAGACGCGTCACGAGGTGACCCAGACCAAAGAAGAGCCGGCGAAACCTGAGGCTGCTGGGGGTGCGGCCACAGGCTTAGCTAGAGAGCGGCGTAGCGAACGACGAACGGCCACAGAAAATGGGGTGCACCGGCATGGATCATGGAGGTGCGAGCCACCTCCATGACCAAACCGATGCGTTGCTCAGCGACCCCATTCTGCTGCGAGGAGTCCGGCAATGTGAACGTCTGGGAGATGCCCTCCGCACGACAGAAACGACCAAAGACACCAGAGGCAAACTCGCCACCACGGTCAGAGTGGAGGCGCAAGACAGGGAGACCGCGGTGGACACGTGCAGCGACAAGCCACGGGATAAGAACGGCACGCACGTCAGCCTTCCGCTCCAGGGGGAACACAGTGGTGTAGCGCGTGTAGTCGTCGACAAGCACTAGGAAGTAGCGCTCTCGACGCGGCCCATGGACCAGGGCGGGGCCCGAGACGTCCATGTGCAGAGTCTGTAGCGGTGCTGCGGTAGGGGGAAACGAGGAGGAGTGAGGGACACAGCGGAGCTGGCCCTTGACGCAAGGCATGCAAGGTGGGGCTGGGGTGGAGGGAAACTCAGGGAACGACCTGGGGAGGCCTAGGACGAGACCGTGCTGTGACATGTGACGCAGACGCGGGAGCGCAGGGTGACCTAGGCGGTGGTGCTAGAGAAGGGTCGGGTGGGTGAGAGAACCTGAGGAGACGCAGCCACCTGAGGGGGGTCACTAGCCGGGGGGGTCACCGTGTCCAGTGTGAAAAGACTGGACATCGGGTCCCGGGGGAACATGGACAGGGGGGCACCAGTGGCGGCCTCGGTACAGACAGCGTACCGCTCGTGTCCAGGGAACGTAGTGGTGACGCCAAGGTCCTGAAGGCAGCCGGCACCAACTAGGTTCCTGGAGAACGAGGGGATGTGCAGACCTGTGAGCGAGCCCGAAGGAACCGCCGGCCAGGGGAGGGTGGTGGAATTGCAGGCAACTACAGGGCCGGAGGAGGGGTCAGCAAGAGAGACTGAGGCAGGGACAGGGAGCGGTGTCAACGTGGTAGAGTTGCGGAAGAAGCACCGGGAAGCGCCAGAGTCGAGGG